GGATGGTGTTAGTAGAGATCTCCCTTATAAAATAACTGAAAATAATTATTTTCCTCTTCTCTCTCCTTTTTTTCTTTCATGTCACATCTCTTAGATTCCAAGCCATTGTTATAAAAGGTAAAACCACCTTGATTACCTTAGAAGAAATGAGGTATGTACATGGGATAAGGAAAGACATATATATGTAAAGCTGGTACCATCTTTTCCCTGCATGTTGTGGCACATGCCACAATTTTTCAATCCTTGAAGGTCATCAGAGCAGAAAGGTATTGCCTCTATAAAATCACAGGTGTCATCAGCTCTTCCTTTATTTTTTGTTGAAGTATAAATGCCCTCTCTACCATGTTTCAGAAAGGAAACTATCTAGAACAGGGGTAGGCAACCTTTCCCCTTTAAGGGCCGAGGGACTTCATTGATCCAGAACAATGCCACTCATGGTGTGCCTACTACAAATATCATGCAAAGAGCAATGGCCACAAGAGGAAAGGCAACTTAATTATAGGAGTTAATCAGAGCAGATGGTTTAAAGTCTACAAGGGACTGTAAAATCCAACTACAATGAGGAAAGGGGAAGAAGCAGTGTTGACTGGAGATCTCTCAGCCATTTTGCCAATGCAGAAGGACTCACTTAAGAGAGGCATTCAAAAAGTCAGTCAGCTGATGTACAGCAGCTACACCAAAGACTCTGAGATACATCTGCCACTCCCAAATTGGCCCAGAAATGGTGGATGGCAACAGGGTGGGTACAGGGGCTGCACTGATTTTTCAGGGGCATCAGAAGACTGACCTTCCCCCCAAAAGTTTTGGCATGTTTTTGTCCCCAGGTTCCCCCAGATAGGATTGCCAAGCTGAAAACTGAAGAGGACTCCAGTAACTGTAATGATTGTGCAGAAGGGGGAATTTCAGCAGGGGATGCATGTTATGCAAGCAGCACCTGCTGAAATTCCTCTTCTACACAACCATGGACTAGATTTCCCTTACATCTGGATCTAGGAACAGTCATCACATCTGGAGGGCAACATATGCCATGCATGTGATCTGAGGTGAGGTTAGGGCAGAGCAGCAGGGACATAAAACATTCTCAGTGAGTCTTCCTCATGTCTGCTAGTGACTCCCCCTCAAATCTATTTATTTCAAAGCATTCCCTGCTCCTTTTCTATTCCAAATTACTACTGAAATTGCAGAACAAGATAAATAGGACGTAACATTAACACACGAAAATAACCAATTATTCTCAGAAAACATTGTTCAAACACCATCCAATGTGCAATCACTTCCAGCTTCTAAAACAAAAAATGTTTTAAGGGGTGTGTGTGCCTAAAATGGGCCTGGGCTATATGTATGTATTATATTTCCGTGACAAACTGTGCTCGCCCAGAGGCTTCTGGGAGCAATTTGCCATTTGGAAGTGATTTTTGTTATGTTGAGGGAATTGAGTGTTGGAAGGGATCCCTGCATTGTGATCTAGTCCCCATTAGCTCACTAGACCGTCAAATTAACCAGACTAGCAATTTATAGTACCTATTTCAGCCATTTTCCAGGGTCATGGAAAGCCGATTCCTCTACTCGTGAGCTAGCACAGAGACTTAAGTACATGAATTCAGCTGCCCAACTCCCCAGATTGAGTATGCTGGCCTACAGCAGGCAACAATGGCACAACCTGCAGTATCTTTGGCATGCCATTGCCACATCTAATAGCTTCTCATTGTCCCACATTTCTCTCTGCTACCAGTTTTTAGTATCTTTCTCCCTCCTTCTTTTATAGATTATTTGCTTCTTGCTAAGAGAGTAGGAATTAGAGAAGCACTGGTGGACCGGTCTTATTCTCCAGGGTGAAATGATCTGGCCCAGGATGACTAGCTGCTGACTCTTTTTCTATTAATACAATGGTGGGCAACTGGTGGCCCTCCAGATGTTGTTGGAATACAACTCCCATCAGAACTAGCCTACATAGCCAAAGGTGAGGAATGCTAAAAGTTGCAGTTCTACATACAATAACAGGAGAACCATAGGCTGTCCACCCTAATCTTATTGTCATGCAGTGCAATTCCTAACAAGATTGATCCACTCATGAAATCCCTCTGAGCTACTCTCAAGCTGAGTCAACAACAGCGAACGCTGCACCAATTTTCTGGCCTCAGAACTATATGGGGGCCAGAGGGCCTGCAAAAAATGCTGTTCCCTGCCCACACAAACCTGGAAATTGCAGAAGTACACTACTTTTAGTTTTGGGGGTGGTATATATAGGGTGAGCTCCTGTCATTAGTCCCAGCTTCTGCCAGCCTAGCAGTTCGAAAGCATGCAAATGCAAGTAGATAAACAGGTGACACTTCAGTGGGAAGGTAAACAGCGTTCTGTGCAATCTTGCTGGCCACATGATCACAGAGTACTCTCTGACAATGTTGGCTCTCTGGCTTAGTAACGGAGATAAGCACTGGCCCCTACAGCCGGACACGACTTGACAACCTTGTCAACGGGGAATACATTTACCTTATATATATATATATATATATATATATATATATATATATATATATATATATATATATATATAGTTTTACAGCATGCTTTGCCCTCTCCCCCAACCTATTTAAATGTTGAATTCACACTCCTAGAAGTTTTCAGGTAGTGGAGTCACTGGAGGGGTATGGACTACACCAAGTGACACCATCAGAAGAAGTGACACTGGGCAGCAGCAAGGCATCCGATGGCCCTTTCCCCATAAATTAAGTGGGGACTCTTCTTGGTGTGCTGTTCCCCTTTTGGGGGGAAGAGGACAGGGGTGAAGCCACAGACCTTTCTCTCTGCTTCCCCCACCCGTAGCCTCCCTTTCCCAATCTATCTGTTGTCCTCTGGGGTGAGGGTTGTCTGCTGTGACTTCTTTCCTTGAGGGTGGAGATATTTTCTTATTAACCAACTGTTCTTGTTCATGGGGGCATGCCATCTTTGCTGTCTTGGCTGAGGGTAGGGACAGCAATAGCAGGATGCTGGGTGGCTCTACTGTTTGCAGGAGAAATTTGATTTTTTTGGGGGGGGGAGAGAAAAAAGATCTGCAGAGTTTGGAGAAGTCAAGTGTCGTAAAAATAGCTCTGAGAGAGCAGGCCAACACTTTACCCTGTCACACAGTATTGCAATCCAGGCCACTGAAGTGAGAAACACACTCTCTTCTTCAGACAACCCAGTAATCAAAATTGGAAATGAATGAAGTGGGTCACCAGCAATTGTAAAATTGCTTTGCCTGTTTCCAAAAAAGAAAAAGAAAAATAAAGCTGGTCCAAGGTTTTAGAGGAAAGGATGGTGTCATTTCCCCAAGATGTGAAGTTAATTTTTTT